CAAGACGTATGGCAGCCCCAGCAAGGGGCTTCCAAGGCAAGTGAGAAGCAGAGGTGGTTAGCCATAGCTTTCCTCTGCAGAGTCTTCCTCAGTGGTTTCCCATCCAAGACTTATCATGACCCCAGCAAGGGGCTTCCAAGGCAAGTGAGAAGCAGAGGTGGTTAGCCATAGCTTTCCTCTGCAGAGTCTTCCTCGGTGGTTTCCCATCCAAGACTTATGGCAGCCCCAGCAAGGGGCTTGGTAGGCAAGTGGGAAGCAGAGGCGGTTTGCCACCGCCTTCCTCTGCAGAGTCTTCCTTGGTGGCCCCTCTTCCAAGTACCAGCCCTGCATAGCACTGATTTCCTAGCGGCTGTGCTTAGGACTCTGACAAGATTGGGCTATACCATCCCACCTTCCCTCCTGAAAGGGCAATGAGGGGTTGACAGCAAGAGGGCATTTGACAGCCCGGAAGAATGACCCTTCCATATTGGTAGAAATGCCCACCTCCAGGTAGTCGCTGAGGATCTCCTGGGATTGCAACTGATTTCCAAGCCACAGGGATCAGGTCGTCTGGAGACAATGGCCACTATGGAAGGTGGTCTCTATGGCATTATATCCCATTGAAGTCGCTCCCCTCCCCAAATCCCACAATCTTCAGGTTCCACCCTCGAAAAATCTCCAGTCAGTGCATTTGAGAGTCAGAATGGTGTGGTTGATTAGGAGGCTAACTTAGGTCAAGGAGAATCAGATTCAGATCCACAACTTGGCCATGAAGCTGACCGGGTGATCTTGGGCCAGCCCTTCTTGCTCAACCTCACCTTTCTCACAGGGCTGCTGTGAGGACAAAATAAGAGATAGAATTGTGGGTAGACAATTAGACCCTGGGGAGCCGTTGCCGATAACAGGAGACAGTGATGACCCTTATAGACAGAGGTTCCAAATTAGCCACAAGGTATACATAGGGACTCTGGGGAAAGTGATGCTCTGTCTTCTTGGTGCTTGGTTTATGTTCTTATGTTCTAGTACAGGGCAGAGTTAAACTGGGACTTGCAAAATCGGCATTCACATCCCCACTCTGAAATGGAGCTGGATGAGTGATCTTGGAACAGCCTTTCTTTCTCTCAGCCTAACCT